GAGGGCACCCTGTCGGAGGAGGAGGAGGAGGAGGAGGAGGAGGAGGAGGAGGAGGAGGAGGAGGAGGAGGGAGGAGGAGGAGGAGGAGGAGGAGGAGGAGGAGGACTTTGAGGAGGAGGAGGAGGAGGAGGACTTTGAGAAGGAGGAGGAAGTGGAGGAGGAGGAGGAGGAGGATTTGAGAAGGAGGAGGAAGTGGAGGAGGAGGAGGAGGAGGAGGAAGAGGAGGAGGAGGAGGAGGAGGAGGAGGAGTTGGAGTTGGAGGAGGTGGGCACCCTGTCGACGTCGAGTTCTTCGCGTTCGTCGGAGGCTCTTGTGCACCCTGGGGGGTGCTCTTTGATGCTCTGTGGGCTTTGGCCGGCGGAGGGTCTCGTGTTCTTGAGGGATGTCCTTCTGATCTAGGCTTGAGTCGGGCATGTCCCTCTATAGGAGGAATATCCAAGAATAGTCAAAAAATAGTCTGGGGACGATTGTTCTAGTATTTTTGACTATTTTCGAGGCCTGACGGCCGGTGCCGCCGACCCTGATCGAAAGGGCTAGGAGTGGGGGGATGAAGCGGAGGATGAGAAGGAGGAGGAGGAGGAGGAGGAGGAGAAGGAGGAGGAATAGGAGGAGGAGGAGGAGGAGAATGAGGAGGAGGAGGAGGAAGAGGAGGAGGAGGAGGAGGAGGAAGTGCATCCTTTGTGTGCTCGCTCGAAGAAAGTGCGCCCCGGGAGTGTGATATTCTGACTTGGGACGTGCTCCCGGAAGAGGAAGAACTGCATCTCGGGCGTGCCCGCTCGAGGAAAATGCGCCTAGGGGGGTGGTATTTTGACTCGGGGCCCGCTCCCGGGACGCCTCTGCGGAGGAGGAGGAGGAGGAGGAGGCGGAGGAGGAGGGAGGAGGGAGGAGGGGGAGGAGAAGGAGGAGAGGAGCAGGAGGAGGAGGAGGAGGAGGAGGAGGAGGAGGAGGAGGAGGAAAAGGAGGGAGGAGGACCAGGAGGAGGAGGAAGTGCATCCCGTGCGTGCCCGCTCGAGGAAAGTGCGCCCCGGCGGGCGTCGTATCTGCCCCGCCCCCCCCCCCCCCCCCCCCTTCTCCCCCCCCCATGCGGGGACGGGATCAAAGGGAAGGGGCTTCCCTTCGACTCCACTACGACGTCGTTTAATTTCGCTTTGGATAGAGTAGCGCGCTTGAGGAGGAGAGCCCTGGGAAGGGGGAGAACGGAGACGACGGAGACGACGAGTCGAACGGAGAAGCCCCTCACACACGCCGACAGGGTCGGCGGATTTTCGATTCTCGTTTGACTAGCTTCACTGTTCATCAAAAGTCCGCCTGTAGGAGGGCATGCCCGGCCAAAATCTAGGCTCGACCACGTCCACTGCGTCTTGGAGCTTCGTTGGCGGCGCGCACAAGGGCGTGGCGCGAGGGGGGGCCCTCCGAGAAGACGGCGCGCTTTTTGCCATAAGGCAGGGGGGTTTCTTAGAAGGGCTTGGAGGCTTCTCAGATTAAGTTGGGCGTGTTCCTCTACAGGGGGATACTCAAAAACAGTCGAACGATAACATGGGGACGATGTCTTAAATTATTGTTGAATGTTTTTGGAGCATTGTTTGAGTATGTTTTATTGTTCGTCCAGCATCCGCCTGCAGGGGGATGTGCCCGACCTAATCCTACGAATGCTTCCTAGCAGCCGGGAGGGCTTCTAAGCGGGCCCCTGCTTGCTCAGACGCCCCCCCTGGTGGGATCGAGCCAGATATATCCAGGAAGGTGCATATACATCGACATCAACCCAGATAGATTTAGGAATATACAGGTAAACCCAGAGATTTCAAAGGCAAGTTCGAGCAAATCGCTGCCGCTCCAGCGCGAGTCGAGAGACGTCAGAAGTCGTCAAGCCCCTAACGAACTGGGGCCCCCTGGGGCTGCCGCTGGGCCGAAGCCTGCCCCCGCCGCTCCCGCCCTGCCCCCCGGGCGCGCCGGCGGGAGGCAGCCTCCCGGCGTCGCCGCTGCCGTCGCCCGTGCCGTTCTGCGAGCCGGGGGGCGCCGCGCCGGGCGGCGGGCCCCGAGGCCCTCCCTCGGCGGGGGGGGGGCGGCGCTCGGCCTTGCCCGACAGAGCCCCTCGGCGTTGTGATGACAGCACCAATCACGGGAGGTGTTGTGCGCAATCTTCGGCCTCCGGGGGCCCTGACCGGGCCTCGGGGGGCCTCTGCGCCGGCAACCGTTGACGCGGGAGGAGAAACCGGTCCCGGGGAAGGGGTCGAGGCCTCTTCTGAAAAGAATCACAACGTCGGGGGGCTCGGGTCTCGCGTCGGACGGAAGTGGTATGCCAACCCGTGCTGATTAGGAAGCGCGGGTCTGGGCTGTGGTTGCAGAGCGGGCCCGGTCTAAGAAGCAGCCTCCTTCTAAGAAGCGCATTGTCCTTCCTTCCCCGAAAAAAGGAGGAGGAGGAATGAGGTGGAGGAGGAAGAGGAATTGAGGAGGGGGAGGAGGAATGGAGGAGGAGGAGGAGGAGGAGGAGGAGGAGGAGGAGGAGGGGGAGGGGGAGGGGGAGGAGGGGGAGGAGGGGGAGTAGGAGGAGGAGGGGGAGGAGGGGGAGGAGGAGGAGGAGGAGGAGGAGGAGGAGGAGGAGGAGGAGGAGGAGGAGGAGGAGGAGGAGGATCAGGAGGGGGAGAGGGAGGGGGAGGAGGAGGAGGTGGAGGTGGAAGAGGAGGAATGCAGAAGGAGGAGGAGGAGGAGGAGATTAAACAGGAGGGATGGAGGAGGGGACGAATGAGCAGGAGGAGGAGGAGGAGGGAGAAGAGGAGGAGGAAAAGGAGGTTCAAGAGGAGGTGGAGCCGTACCGCAAACACGACGAGCCACACACTTACACAGCCGACTTTGCACGGTCACTCAAAGAGTTCAAGCAGCAGCCACACGACAGGTCCACCAGCACAGCAAGACCCGTGGACACCGAGGCCAATAGCTACACGACCACCGCCACTCGACAACGTCAACCTCCTTCAAGCAGCACGCTGGCCAAGGTACAAGTTACCTCCACCGACTTATCAACTGTGTTCGAACCAGTTGCACAACGCAGACTGAGGAGGAGTTGGCACAATGGACAGGACGACCCAGACACGTGAATACAACCAAGCGCAAGAAGTACGTTCGAAACCACCGCCAACGACTTTGCCGAGAAGCATGGGGAACGCACCAGACAGCGCCAGTACCGATGCAACAGCGAGTTCTTCGACTGCACAACCGTTGGTAAAGGCCAGCGCCAACGGCATCCATGACTTCGGTACGTGGCTTGAGATGGCCCCACTACCTTCATAACTCTCGCCACGAAACATGAGATCGGGTAGCAGAGTAAGTGAGCGGCAGCAGGACTTAACCGAGCGGGTGACCAACAGCATCACCACAAGCCAGCATAGCCTTGGCTCCAGGGACTTCAAGGTACAGGCCCACAAGGCCATTTCGGATTATTTTGAACAACGCGAGCAACACCATCGTTCTGGACGTAGCGGCAGACCCGAAGATTTCGTCTCGAGTGCGATCAGGCCAGTGTACCACGTGGAGGCATTCAACGACTCTTTCTTTACGAGGGACAACGTGAGGCTCGGTTGTCCCACATGGCCCAACGCCAGACTCACCTCTCCCAGTTTGCTAACCTCCAGCTTGCGATGATGCTGACCTGCGAAATACACGACGACTCAGACGACATACCGACGCCACACACCATGAAGGTCCAGCGACCGAGCATGGTCATGTCTATCTAGCTGGTTACACGCTACAATCCGACCGCCATGCCAGCGCCTTTTCAAATTACTCGTTCCCTGAGCATAACCGCGGCAACAGCAATGCAGAAGATGAACGAGGCCATCAATGTACCAGACCCTAGCCCAGACGAATCAGATAACCACTGCAACAGAGAGCAGCAAGAAGTGGTACACCAGCAGGAATGACCCAGCCTGCCTAACACAAACATCGAGGCACTGAACACGACCCGACCAATGATCCGACCCACCAGAGACCCTGCACGCGAAGGACCCACAAACCCTGTTGCAACCGGCACAGTCAGAGGAGTTCAACCAGACCAAAGGGCCACCAAGACGCAATAGGTGGACAGCAAGCGCAGAGCATCCAGCTTTGCAGAGGCAGCCCACCAGCAAACTAGCAGTGACCAAATCGACAGCAGAGCTCTCCAAGTTCAGCGGCATCGACTAGACCAGGACGGCCGAATCAGTTTCAGCCGACGGAGAGCCTCAAGGTCGAATCCGACATGTGCAGGGTTGCGACCGCTACCGATAACCAGCCGACGCCGATTATTCAATCTAAGTGCCAGCACGAAACTAAGCGGACCCACGGCCAGGGCTCGTACAAGGACGCCACCCTTGATGACGCCTCCGCCCCCTGGCCGCCTTGGGTAATCGAGCGCAAGAGATACCGCCATGCCCGCCAGTCCGACGCCCCTACGGCAAATCAGGACCCCCCCCCTGATTTGCAACGGCCGCGAGGCTAACGCCTCCCGACAGGACTGGTATCGATCGATCGTGTCGACCTGGTCCGATGTCGATTTTGGCCACATCGATCCGATTCGGTCTCGATATTCTTGCAATCCGATGCGGCCCGATGCTTGGATGGCCTGCGGCCGATCCGATTCAATTAGCCTCCGTGCCGATGCAGGCAGGTCCGACGCAAATGCCGTCTCGACGTGATATCCTGATTCGATGCTGATTGATCTTGCGTTGACGACGGCGGGGCCTTCCCCCAGCGTGGCGAGCCCAGTGTCCCATACTGGGGCCCCCCTCGGGGCCCGAGAGCATCCATGTCCACCGCCTTCTGGGATCCTAGGACGTCGGCTCCCCAGGTTGTGGACAGTATAGGCCCCCGCCTCGCGCAGAGAACGCACGTGGGGGTATTTGTCGTCGAAGCCGACGACGACGACGTCTTGGAGGTTGCCAGGACTGAGCCGACAAGGGGTCCAGGGACCCGTTTTGAGGGGCGGGTCGAGGATGGAGCATCAAAGTTTAAGAATTATGGTCCTGATCAGGCCACCTGGTGGCCACGTCTGAGCGCAACTCGAATCATATGCCAGGAAGTGTCCCAGGAAAAATCGAGGAGGCACGTTCTTCATCAAGGATCGAGCGTAGTCGAAGGTGGGCAGGAGAAGGATGAAGGGGATGAGGATGGGGATCCATTATCGAGGGGACAGGTTCTAAGCGAATGTTAATCGCGACGGCGACGACTACAAGGCGACGACGTCACCGACAGTCCCCTCGTCCTCTCCCGCCTCTTCTCCTCACGGTGGGTGATGAGGAGGGGGGGGGACTTGCACGAAGAAGGGGGCCTTGCCGGGGTGACGGGGTCAGGAAGGTGCCCTTCTGGGGGGGAGGAGCGCGAGGGGGCAGGGAGGGGAGAGAGGGGGCCGGGGGAACGGAACCGGGCAGGGAGGAAAAGGGGCCCGGCGGGGGAGTGGCGCGGGGGGAGTGGCTCAGCGGCCGCGCCGGCGAGTGGCGGCAGCGCCGTCGGCAGAAGACCGCGTGGGCCTCGGCGGCGCGGCGGCACGCAGCTTTTGGGCAGCGGGGGGGCCCCGCAGGGACGGGCGGAGGAGGAGGCACACGAGGCGCACTTGCTCGGACGGCTGGCAGTGGTCAAGCAGTGGCGAAGCGTCCTGGCTCGCCCATAGGCCTACCAAACAATGTTTCAAGAACCTGTTGTGTTTCTTATGTGCCAAATGTTCTTCGAACACTTCTGGCCGATATTGGTTTTAGCAAATTGGGTGCATGTTCTAAGAACATTGTTTTTGTTCTTAGAAGATTTTGGGGAATGCCAGGACGGTCGGTCCCTGCTCAAAATGGGGGGGTGACCGGCAGAGGGGGTGGAGAAAGGGCCCTGAAGGTCCCCTTGGGAGCCAACAGGGGCCCCAGAGGCCAAAGAGCCCCATGAGGAAGAAGAGGAGGAGGAGGAGGAGGAGGAAGGAGGAGGCCAGGACGGATATGGAGGAGGGGCAGCAGGAACAGCACAGGGAGGAGTGAGAGATGGAGGAGTCGTTTTGACGAGAAAGAGGAGGGTTAGGAGCAGAAGTAGCACGAAGACGTTGATAAGGAGGAGACAGAAAACGGTGATGAGAAGGACGTATGTATGTACAACAGCCAGCGACAAGACGAGGATCTGCGCAAGGAGAAAAGGGAGAGCGGGCGGCAAAAAAAGGGGCATGGAGAGGGCGAAGGTTGAGACCAAGGATAGTGGAGGGGAGAGATACCTCCCCCTCCTCCTCTTCCTCCTCCTCCTCCTCCTTCCCTCCTCCTCTTCCTCGGCGGCGCCGCCGCCGATGCAGGCGACGCCGCCGACGACGACGGCGCCGACGACTGCGCCGACGACTGCGACGATGTCATCCGCGACGACGGCGCCGACGACGACGACGACGTCGACGACGACGGCCGCGAACGCGCGGACGATGGCGCCGAGGGCGGCGCCGCCGACAGCGCCGCCGATGCCGACGGCGGCGGTAGCGGCCGGTCGCCCCCCGCGAGTCGCTTGGCCGGCCAGCGTCCCGGGTGGCGTGTGCCCCGCGTCGGCTTCAGGAGCGGCACCGCGCGCCCGCGCTGGCCTGCGCCGTGGCGCCGTCGTTGTCGTCGCCCACAAACGCGTCGTCGTTGTCGTCGTCGTCGTCGTCAACGTCGTCGTCATCGTCGTCGTCAGCCCATCTTAAGCACGACGAAAGGCATGACTATAATTCCTCTGAGCGCTGCGCGGATCTCTTAGATCGGCGCTGGGCCCCTCTGGCGGCGCCTCCGGCGCCGCCACTTTCGCCCTCCGCGCGCCAGGGTGGGGGCCCCAGCGCCAGTCAAATATCTCCGCGCGTGCCAAGAGTTTACGTGTTAATTTTTGTTGTCCTTCTTGTTTGTGTGAGCGACCGATGCCGCGTCATTTTTCTGCCACGCGCCCAGAGACGGTGTAGTTCCGTTCGGTTTTTTCGCTCCGATGTGTACCCCTCTCCGCCCTGACCCCCACCTGAGCGATGCAGAACAACGGGGTCGTCTGCACGGGCATTGACGCGCACGTTGCCTGAGTAGGGTAGCGCGTAAGCGCCCTCGTTTCCAATGTGGCGTACCGCGCATGTGGCCCGTGCAAGCCTCGGGGTCGGTTCGCCACGTCATCTTGCGCAGGACCCGTTCCTTCTCGTCGCTCACCTCTGTTTCCCTCACCCCCGCTTCTCGTGGGTGAAGAACATCCGCACCCCGCGGCCTCGCAAGCCTACGGGCCGCGACCCCGCGGATACGCGGCGTTTTTTCGCGGATGCCCTGCGAAGAACGTCTCCGTGCGACCGCGCATCCGCAGGATCGCGCCCCGGAATCCAGACCGTGAGGGCGCGATTACGGATATTCGGGCGCGTGGCACGGGGGGGGGGCCCTATTGGGGGGTGAAAAAACCAAGCCTCCTTTTGGGGCCCAAAAGGGGCCCCAAAGTGGTCATTGACGGTCTTTTTCTTCCCCCCCCCTGGTGTCGCTCACCCCCCAGTACCACCCGCCCGAACATCCGTATACGTGCCCTGCTGGTTTCGTGCCATGCGGCGGCCGTGCGGGACGATCCGTTGGGCACCCTGGAACGCTCTAGGCGAGGCGCAGCTGCGGGAGGGCCTCCCGAGGCCGGACTGCCGCCGGGGAGCCAGCGAGAACGCCCGAAAATTTGAAACCTCAGACCTCGATGTTCAGGAGCGGAAAAAACACACAGACACAATTAATCCCCAATTCCCCAGAAAATATGGGAAAATATGGGAAGTGGGGGGGGAAGACAAAAACCCAGAAAATATTTGAAAATATGGGGAATATTTTTATTTGTGTGTATTTATGTGTGTGGTTTTGGGCCCCTTCAGATGTGTTCGATAGGCTCGCCGCTCGTGGACCTTGCCAGGGCCGCCCACGATCCGAGCCGATGCGATTCGATTCGCTGGCTGCGGCCGCGATTCCAATTCGGTGCGATCCGGCTCCACTCACCGGCATCGGCCAGGGCCAGCGGGAAGCTGAGCGCGGCGATGCGATACCGATCCGATTCGGAACGATTCGGTGGCGATCCGATCCGCTCTCGATTCGCTTCGATGTCGCAATCCGATCGCGCTCCCCTCCTCCTCCTCCCCCTCCTCCTCCTTCTCCTCCTCGCCCTCCTCCCCCTCCCACTCTCCCTCCTCCTCCTCCTCCGCCTCCATCTCCCCGTCCCACTCTCCCTCCTCCTCCTCCTCCTCTCCCTCCTCCGCTTCCTCCTCCTCCTCCTCCTCCTCCCCCTCCTCCTCCTCCTCATCCTCGTCCTCCTCCTCGTCCCCTCCCCCTCCCCCTCCTCCTCCTCCTCCTCCCCCTCCCCTCCTCCTCCTACTCCCCCTCCTTCTCCTCCTCCTCCTCCTCCTCCGCCTCCACCTCCCTTTCTGGCCGGCGGTGCCCCAGGCCCCGCATCGCCGCCCGCCGCGCCCGACGAGGCCCGCTCCCGCCTCCCGCCGCGTTCGCGCCGGCCGCTCGCCCCGTCGTCAAACGTCGACCGTCGTCAAGGGCAACAGACAGGGTTACGTCGGGCGTGTCCCTCTACAGGAGGAATCTTCAAGAATAGGCATAACATACGCTGGAGACGTTTTTTTTCTACTAGTTTTGACTATGTTCGACGATTTTCTGCGGACCTCCCATGGCATTGTTTCTGACTATGGGTGAGGATGTGTGAGTATTTCTGCATGTTTCGCCCAAGGTCCGCCTGTAGGAGGATATGCCCGACCTAGCCTTAGGGGAGAATAGGCATAGGAGGGGATGCATCGACCCCCAATCCCGGGGCTCAGTTCGATTCCTTCGATGCGATTTGATTCGATTTCGATGGCTTCCGCTGTCGACTTATTCCGACTTCGGATTCCGGTTCGGGCTCTGATTTCTCAATGAAGGCCGACTAGCCTGCCGACTTCCGCCGATTGGATTTTTCCGGACTCGGTTGCCGATTCCTTCCGGTCCGATTTAGTTCGATCACCGATCAGAGCAATCGATTCGATTATGGGCTCTCCTACAATCGCCCCAACTTGCCGAGGACGTTTCGTATCTACATCGAAACCTCTCACTAATCTATCCACGATGGGGGCAAGTCCCCCTCGGTCGTTGCCCCTCACGTCAGTCGTCGTCGTTCGTCGGTCGTCGTTACGCAGAGGGGGGTAGGGGGAGGGGGGACGGCTTCTGAGAAGGAGGCTGCTCCTCAGAAGACTCGAGCCGTGCATCTGCAAGCAAGACCCGCGCCTTCTGAGAAGCAGGGGTGCTTCTGGAAGCTTTCCCCTTCTTTCGTACTCCCCTGTGCGCGCCGCCCTGTCGTCGGCGCCGAGCATCGTCGCTGTTCGTCGATTGTCGTCGATCGTCGCTGTTGTTTGTGACGTCGTTGTTTGTCGTCGTCAACCGCCGTGCATCGTCATCGTTGTCCGTCGTCGTCGTCGTCGTCGTCAATCGTGGTCGTTGTCCGTCGTCGTCATCGATCGTCGACTCCGGCCGTGGTCGCCGTCCGTCGATCGTCGTCGTCGGTCGTCGTCTCCGTCGTTGGTCGTCGATCAGCGGTGGGCGTCGTCGTCGATCGTCGTCGCAGTTGCCGATCGTCGGCGGCATTTGCGATCCAGGGCTCGGACCTCGCCGTCGGTCGCGGGTGAGCGCCGCTTTTGCTGTCGTTGTCGTCGTTGATCGGTCGTCGTTGCCGATCGTCGCCGTCTCTGTCGGTTGCGCCGCCATCGCCGCCCGCCGCGTTGACTGCTCGTCGTCGTCGTCGTCGTTGTCGTCGTCGTCGTTGTCGTCGTCGTCTTCAGTCGCAGCTCCCAGAACTCCGACACCGACGACAAGCTTTTCTGCTGTTGTTTTTCCCAGCCCTCCCTTGGTGGGGCTCTCGTTCTGGGTCTAGCAATGTGGTCTCCACTCCTCTCCTCCCTCCTCCTCCTTCTCCTCCTCCTCCTCCTCCCACCCTATTCCCTCTCTCTCCTCCTGCTTCCTTGCCCCACATAGCTCGTAGCTTTGCCACTTTCGCGTCTCCTGGGAGACACGGCGGAGGTGAGGGCCATGGGGATTCTTTTGAGACCTCGCGGCTCGCTCGGGGGCTGCGATCTGTGCAGTTGTCGCCACTCACGTGGGCTCCCAGGGCGCACGACAGAGGTGAGGGCAGCGGGGGCTCCCTTTGAGGCCTCGCGTCCCCTGGGAGGCCGAGCAGAGTGGGCTGCGAACAGCGCATCCGTCGCCACGTTCGTGGGCTCCTGGGAGGTCCATCGGAGTGGAGGTGCACGCGCACCCAGCCGAGACCTCGCGTTCCCCTGGGTGGCTGCGAAGCGAGCAAGTGTCGCCACATTCGTGAGCTCCTGGCGGGCACGGGGATCCCTTTGAGACCTCGCGGCTTCCTGGGGAGCCTGCGAAGTGAGCAGATTGCGCCACTTTCGTGAGCTCCGGGGGGGGCACGGCGGAGGTGAGGGCAGCGGGGATCCTTTTGAGACTTCGCGGCTCCCTTGGGGGTTTGCGAACTGTTCAACGGAGATGTTGGCAGCGGGAATCCTGCTGGGAGGCACGGCGGATGTGAGGGCGGGCAGCGGGGATCGCTTTGAGACCTCGCGGCTCCCTTGGGGGTTGCGAAGTGCGCACCTGTCGCCACTTTCGTGGGCTCCTGGGACGTCCAGCGTAGCGGAGGTCCAAGCGCACCAGCCGAGATCGCGCGGCTCCCTCAGGGGCCGCGAAGTGCGCAAGTGTCACCACTTGCGTGGGCTCCTGGGACGCCCAGGGGAGTGGAGGTATACGCGCACCCAGCCGAGACTTCGCGCATCCCCGGGTGGCTGCGAAGTGCGCAAGTGTCTCTTTTTTCCGTGGGCTCCCCGGAGGTCCAGCGGAGGGGGGGGGTACGCACACCCAGCCGAGACCTCGCGGCTCTTTGGAGGATTGCGAAGTGCGAAAGTGTCGTCACTTCCGTGGGCTTCCTAATTAGAGCCACGGCGGAGTAGGGGAATTCGCGGGCCCAGCAGAGAGCTCGCCTTCCGTGGCGAAGTGTTCAAGATGACGACACATACGTCCACGTCGTCTTTTCGGATCTAGCGATCCCGATCAACGGCGCCATACTCATAGAGAGCGTTGGATGCGTTCCCGTGCATTTTATGTTCCCCACTCGACAGGTGGGGGCTGTCGGGTTTGAAGAGGGGGCTACCGCCCCGCCCCGCACATCCTGCATACTGCACCCCCACCATCTCAGCACCCCAGCTGGGGATCTAACCCCCCGAACCCCTGGGTCTCCGACGGACTTCCGAGGCGTCGGAACACCACCAGAACGAGGTTACAAAACGGTACCCATGCCGCTACGCCCTGGAGATCTCCCGGAGCGCATGTTGACCCCGGACCGCCGACATCGCGTTTGTTTCTCAACGTCGGCCCCCTGTCATCCCGAATCGTGCTCTGATGCTCCCGAGGCCCGGCAGGGGCCCACAGAGGCCGAAACCAGCGAAAAGCCTCCCGTCGCGATTCCTTCACAACGCGAGGGAGACAGGGACTCTTGGACCCTGACGACGAGAATCTAGCATCCAGCCGTGGCGACCACTGCTCCAAGAATTGCCGCGCAAGGCTGGGCGCCCCCTTGACTGCCTATCCCAGGCCTGGGCCCCAAACCTTTGCTTTGGTCCAGTCCAAAACCACCCCACGTCCGGGATTGGGGCCCTGCATAACTCAGAGCGTGAATTACCTACCCCGCTTTCGCTTCCAGGCAAAACCGAGTCGTACCACGCGCCTCCTCGTCAAGCGGCCTGACCAGTGCAGGCCGCAGTTTGGCATCGCTTGGTATCTCTTGGAAGCGAGGGTGGTCAAAAGCGAGGTAGGTTTGTTTGCCCCCTAATAACCCCCGCTGGGCGAGCATCCGGCCGTGGCGGCCACTGCCCGGAGCACTGCCGCGCCAGGGGGCCCCCTCGGGGCCGCCGGCGGCCCGGCCTCGCCGCGGAGCCGCCGCCGCCGCGCGCGCGGGCGCGCGGGGGCCCCGGGCGGCCGCCTCGCCGCGAGGCCGAGGAGGCGGAGGCCGAGCGGCAGCTGCGCGGGCGCGTGGCGGAGCTGGAGGGGCAGGTGGCCTTCCTGGAGGTCGGGCCGCCGCCCGGCGGCGGCTGCGACGGCCACGACGGCGGCGGCGGCGGCGACGGCGGCGACGGCGACGGCGGCGGCGACGGCGGCGGAGGCGGTGGCCGTGGCGGCGGCCGCGGCCGCGGCGGGGACGACGGCGGCGAGGGGCAGGTGGCCTTCCTGGAGGTGGGGCGGCCGCCCGGCGGCCCGCCGCTCCCGGCGTCCGACGGCGGCGGCGGCGAGTGCGACGACGACGACGACCACGACGACGACGACGAGATGCCGAGGACGGGAAAATCCTCCTCCCACCGCCCTTGAGCGTTTGCGTGTGCTGAGACGAACTTTTCACCCCTCGTCGTCGTCGCCGTTGCCGCCGTCGCCGGCGTCGGCGTCGTCGTCGTCGTCGCCCCTCCCCCGCCCCCCAGGAGAGGGCGGACGAGAGAGAGCGCGAGCTCGAGGACGCCCCTCCTCGACCGCGGCGCAGTCGGCGCGCATCGTGCCGAGGGCCGGCTCCCGGCTGCTAACGGATGAGCCCCTCAGGAATTGAAAAACAAGCATATTGCAAAATAATTTCAATATGTCTAAAGCATGTCTGACAGATGCCCATGGGAGTGCCTAAACATGTCTTAAACATGTTTTAAACATGTCGAAGACATTCTCTAAAGGCATGTCCAATTCAATGATAGAATGGCTAGAGTGTCCATTGGCATGGCATCCACAAGCATAGAAATGGTGTTTCTTCGGAGGTCCGCGTCCGCGCAGATTTCTCGGATCGGCTCTGAAGCCCTCTCTCCGCGCGCTCCGCGCGCCAGGCAGGGGGCCCAGCGCCGATCCAAGGAGTCCGCGCGGCCCTCAGACAGTTTTGGTTTTTGCGATGTGTGGTTCTCGGGCCGGCCCTGCCTGCGAGCTTCCAAGGAGTGGCAGCTAGAAAGCTCGCCATGAACGGAAAGGGCCCGAGGGCTAGAGGAGGAAGGATACCGGCTCCCTCTGCTCGTCCTGGAGAGCTCTCGTCGCACGGCCAGGCTTCTCGAGCTTCTGGTGACTCAGCGCTCCCTGGGATATGTCAAGGGAGCAGCGGTAGCGATACTTTCTGGCCCCCCCGAGGAGGAGGAGAAGGAGGAGGACGAGGACGAGGAGGAGGACGTGCACGAGTAGGTGCAGCAAGAGAAGGAGGAGGAGGAGGAGGACACGGAGGACAAGGAGGAGGACACGGAGGACAAGGAGGAGGAGCAGGAGGAGGAGGAGGAGAAGGAGGAGGAGGAGGAGGAGGGGGAGAAGGAGGAGGAGGAGGAGGAGGAGGAGGAGGAGGAGGAGGAGAGGGAAGAGAGGGAGGAGGAGGAGCAGGAGGTGGAGGTGGAGGGTGAGGAGAAGGAGGAGAGGGGAGGAGGAGGAGGAGGAGGGAGGGAGGGGGAGGAGGAGGAGGGGAAGGAGGAGGAGGAGGAGGAGGAGGAGCAACAGGAGGAAGAGAATGAGGAGGAGGGCAAGTATTTGTCGTACGACGAATATGAAGAGGAGAAGGAGGAGGAGGAGGAGGAGAAGGTGCAGAAGGAAAAATAGTAATATTAATACATAGTAAGAAAATGCGAATAATAATAAAAGTAATAATAATATTAATGAGCATGATAATAATAATAATAAGAAGATTGATACTAATACTACTACTACTAATACTAATACTAATCGTACTAATAATAATACGGGGGCGGGCAGATGGCGACAGGCCAGGAGCGGTATGGGACGGAGGAGGAGGAGGTGGAGGAGGAGGAGCCAGGGTGGCATCGTGGTGCGACAGACTCATGTTGCGCTATGGCTGTGTCGAGGAGGATTAGAGGAGGAAGAGGAGCAGAAGCAGCAGGAGGAGGAGGAGGAACATAATGGGGAAGAGGAGCAGGTTGAGAAGGACAAATAAGAAGACGAATTATAATAATAAGCATCATGATACTCGTAAGTACTAGTGCAGTGCGAAGAAGCATAATCAACACACAAATAATAATATGAAACAGGCTACTAATACGGGTTACTCCTGACAGCAATAATAATACCAATACTATTAGTTTTATTACTACTAATACTACTACTAAAACTATTACTATTACTATAAAAAATAATAATAATGATAATGATACTAGTAATAATAATACTAATAATAATAGTAACAATAACAATAATAATAGGAATAATAATAATACTAATAATAATAATAATAATAATAATGATGGGGCATGCCGGTGGCGGCATGCCAGGAGCGGCAGGGGACGGAGGAATACGAGGAGGAGGAGGAGGAGGAGGAGGAGGAGGAAGAGGAGGAGGAGGAGGAGGAGGAGGGAGGGGAAGGGGGGGCTGGAGAAGGAAGGGGAGGAGGAGGAGGAGGAGGTCGGGGAAATCAGGGTGACTCCGAGGAAAGGAGGAGCCCGAGCAGGGGTGGGAGGACGGGCGGCCCATCCCAAATCGCCGCCAGGACGCCAGAGTCCGACTCGCCCAGGCCGGCCCCGCTGCCGCCTGCAGCCGCCGAGCGTCGCTTGCTGCCAGAGCTGGCCCCGATCCAAGGTGAGCGATGCAGAACAGCTCGCCATGGGCGAAACGGGCCCTGAGGAAAACGGGTCCTGAGGCTTTCCGCCGTTTTCGGGCCCTCGGGGCCATCCACGGGCCCCAGGACTGTCAGAAGAGGGCTCGGGATGCAGGTCTCGTCCCGGGGAAGGCCCCAGGGTCCAGGACCCGTTTCCCTCAGGACCCGTCCCCCCCGTGTTGCCACAGTGCCGCTTTTAATATATGCTCCGCGTGCGGATCATGTATTAGAAATGCAGGGGTTTAGTACTAAAAACAGCGATGAGTTCATGCATACATTTATTCATAAATTAGTAGTGCGAATCCTATTGATTAAAACGCTATGTTTTATATATGCATATATATAACAAAAACTGCCCTGTAAGCAGTGGGCCCGAGGTCGCGGACATCCGCGCGCCCGTTGCCCGCGTGCGGCCGCGCGTGGGCGCCCTTCCGTCGCTGCCAACGCACCGTGCACCCCGCGCGGCGTGGCGGGCCCGGGTGGCCCCGAGCAGCCCGACGAGCTTTGGGGGGCACCTCTCAAACGACGCGAAGATCGGGACAAAGTCGGATCGGGATAACTCGAGATCTCTGAGAATCGGCGGGTTTGGAGGATGTATTGGGCGCCGCGGCCGCTCCAGAGCGTTCTCCAGAGCGTTCCGGAACGCTCTGAGAGCGCTCCGGAACGCTCTGGAGCGACTTATCCCGATCCTAGCCCTGTTTTAACCTCTCGGGGCCAGCACCACCTCGCGGCAGCGCCCCGGCGCAGGACGGTGCACAGCTCACGCCGCTGCCGCCGCTCCCCGGCCGTCGGGTAACGCTCCATGGGGGGTCGATCGATGGGGTGAGGAATCGGAGGAGGAGAAGGTACCCATACCACCGCCCTTCGCGGCCGTTTTCCCTTTTTCTCGGCCTCCTGGGATGCCCTCTGGTCAGCATGCGCCCTGGGAGAGGTCGGGGGAGTAGCGGTATCAGTAGTTACCTTTTTGGTTCCCCCAAGAGAGGTGTGTTTTTCTGGGGCCCTGAAAGGGGCTTCCTCTGGGCCTCTGCACGGGCCCCTGCAGGGGGCCGCAGAGGGCCCCTTGCTGCAGCCCTCGCTGCCCCCTCTGCAGCCCTCGTTGCCCCCCCCCAATCAATCCCCCCACCCCAGTACGCGTGCTCCGAGAGCTGGGCGGCGCAGCGGAGACAGGTGCCGGTCGGCCCGCGGGGGCCGTCGAACACCGCCTGCTCGGGAGGGTCCAGCTGGGCCTCCGGGGCCTCCTGGGCAGGGGTCGAGACCTCAGGGGGCATAGGCTTCAAGCGCCACGACCATCTCGTCCTCCTTCCGTCGAAGAAGAAAGAACGCCAGACAGACACACACACACACACACACACAACCACACACAACCACACACAACCACACACACAACCACACACACAACCACACACACAACCACACACAACTACACAGAACCACACACAACCACACACAACCACACACAACTACACACACAACTACACAGAACCACACACAACCACACACAACCACACACACAACTACACACACAACCACACACACACAACCACACACAACCACACACACAACCACACACAACCACACACACAAACTTTTTGGGCTCCGCGCGGATTTCTTTGATCCGCGTTGGGGCCCCGCCAGGGAGAGGGGTCCAGCGTAGATTTCAAGAGATCCGCGCCGAGCGCCAAGAGTTGACATTTATACAGTTGTTTCTTCCTCCATTTCAGGCGGTGCCAGGTATCCACCACGCTCGCCGATCCTGACCAGGCCCATCCGTGGCCCAGGATCGGTACACGCGGCCTCCTGGCTTGGCTTGGCCAATGGGGCATACACACCGATCTTGGACCGACGATGGCGAGGTGGATAGTTGACGTCCCCGGATCCTCGTCCACTTCCTGGGGCCTCACTCGTCCCCGTCCTCATTACCGTGTTCCTCGTCGTTCTTCACCCCCTTGTCGTCGTCCCTTGTCGTTGGCCTCGAAACAATACTGGTGTAAAGCTCACTTCTTCTCCTGGTCCTTGTGGTCCTGACGTTCCTCCTCGTGTTCACGGTCCTCGTCGTCCCCGTCTCGTCGCGGCTGGTCTTTAGTGTGCCGCTCGCATTTGCGGGGTATCTGAATTCTGCCAGAAGCCGACTCCAATCGCCAGAGGGTTTCCTCATCGTCTGGCCTTCCTGCCACTTCTCCCCCTCATTTATCCCCCTTTCGGTTCTCCTGCCCCCTCGCACCTTCTTCATTCTCCTCCTCCTCCGAATCCTCCTCCCGCCTCATCCCTTCCTCACAATCATCGTCGTAATAGTCACAAGTATCATCCGACTCGTCCTCCTCACTCGTCAGTCTCTTCGGGATGGCACCGACTCCGCAGACATGGCTCTGCAAGTCCCGCCTCCACCCGAAGTCGGGAGCGTCATTCCTCGATTCTGCTGAGAACAAGAATTGCTTCAGTTGCGGGTGGTCGAGGGGAGTGCCATTCGGCCCCGCCTTCGCCCCCGAAGCGCCCGCCGCCGTGGCAGCAACCAATCCCCGCTTCGCTCGCCCGCCTGGGACGAAGGACCCGCGGAGTCCGGCGCGCAGTTGTCCAAGCTTCAGGCTGAGCTTGAGAAGGCGAAGCGTCCACCTTCGAAGGGATGCTGGGATGCCGCTCTTGGGTTTGAGGTTGTCCCTGTTCATCGGGGCCGTCAGATCACCGTTGTAAATGAGACTCAAGCCATTGGGTCTCTCGAGGGGGATGTCTGGGGCAAGCTCCGAGCAGAGCTACGCAATGAGAAGATGCAGATCGAACAGAAGAAGCTCGACAGTATGCCTGTTGTCCAACGCCCTCGCTCTGTCCTCCGCCAGGCCGATGAGTGTGTGAAGAAACTCGCCAAGGCCCAAAAACGTGAGTAGGCATTGCAAGACTTTGAGGCCACAGC